TTTTTTCATGTTTCTTTATTCAATTATTTCCGATGATCTGCAAGTGTCCTTATATTTATGACCAGGAAGTGTATATAGTTTTTTTTTAAAAAATAAATGTGCAAACAGACCGTGTAACGTGATACGCCCTGATTGAAATTTAAACACTGATGAATTGATTAATTTTTTACATAATTTCAAAACCACTCTCTCAAAATGTCTGCTTTAAACTCTGGTTGGAAATCAGCGGCAAAGAAAGTAGAGAAAATTCGGAATAAAGTTGATAACATAATCCATAATTATCCCGAACTACCAAAATTTCTCTTAGGAGAAGAAAGGTGAGTGAGTATGATTCACGCAGGTTTCTCTAAGATCTGTTCAATGCTGACTCGTATGGTCTACAGTTTACCATTTCAGATTGGGTCAAAAGTTTCAGTGAAAGATTATAATACTTTTCTTGACCGCAACGAATCAACCGGATACAAATTTTATTGGAACAAAGGAAACGTATATATTATTGAAATGGCTAACTCAGATCATGAATGTGTTATATCGGTGCTTCAAGAATGTTTTAGAGTTCCAAATAATAATGTAATATGTGGTCCGATAAAAGTTTACGGCCAACCATGTAAGAGATTTCCGTTTAGTCTGCTTGGTCTTTGGCTTGTAATAACAATTCACATTTTTTCCTATAGTTCACTACAACCCAATTAACATTACGGAAAAAATGGCACCAGACGTTGCAGTTTATCCAAATATTGCTTATGTTCCACGACCTGGCGTTTTGCATCCTGGTCCTCCCCCCAGTGACACAAATGTACTTAGTTTGTATATATTATCACAATATTTATTTTTGATTCACTTTCCTAATATTATAATATACTTACATAGGGTCTTCCTCATGCGAGAATCATCTGTGAGATAGCCAATGCTCAAAACATTGCTACCTGGAATAGAAGATGTGAAAATTGGATGCGTGAACAATATGTCCGATGTGTAGTTGGTATCAAGCTTGATATTATTAGGAGTTATCAAGGCCAAGTACATAGATCAATGATTGTACGTCTAGCTACCTGCTTTATCATTTTCATTATACTATACATAGTTCACCTCTAAGAGTTTTTTTTTAATATTAGGCCATGCTATGGACACGTCAGATACCAGCACCACCGACAGTGAGTAGGGCAGTACCAACGTTGCCGGGAGTATTCACCCAAAAGGTAAGATTGATCCACTGTTGGTATTTCTTGTGATCAAACATTTTAGAGCTTAAAATATAGCTTTTGCAATGTGATAGTGGGACTTTGGAACTTTACAATATAATAGTAATCAAGCTACTGGTTGTAATGGTCCTGGTATTCCTGCCTATCAAGTGAATATTCCGATTTCAAATGTTTTTTGGGACCCTCCAATCGTTGCAGGAGCTCCAAATGTTAGAGGATATAATATAACAGTTCCTGGTACAGTTGTTGGCAATAATTTTGTCATTGATTTATATAATATTCAACAAGAGGTCTTAGCTTCACAAAAAGTGTAATATTTGTTAGTAATGCTAAAGTGGCTTATAATAATCTTATAATAATCTTAGATCCTTTGCATAAATAATTATTTAGTAAAAGAAGGAATGTAAAAACATATTAGCAAAATGAATATGTATAAAAGGCTAAGTCTGATAAATTTGCAAAAACAAAGTATTTACTAAATCAAAATCCTGATGGACGAAACTTTATCTGTCAAAATGTTTGGTAAACCAGTTAATTTAACATGGTTTCTTTACTGTCTTACAAAACAAAATGTTATATAGAAATCCTTAATGTTAATATTTAACACCTGATCTTCCTGAATATTCTGGTTTCAGATGTTTTCTATTGTTGCGGGGTTAGGGGCATAATAATAATATAACAGTTCCTGGTACAGTTATCAGCAATAATTTTGTCATTGATTTATATAACCAGATGGTCTCATTTTCAAATATAATTAATATAGAATTATGAATTATAAGTTCTATTTAAACAATCGATCTTGTTAAAAAATATATTTTAGCATATGATATGTTTTTCTCAATGTTTACAAGTAATTCAACTATTGAAACACCTTTGGATGCCAATTCTTCAATAGATTCAGATAATGCATATCCTTTATATTCACACACATATATATATTCATGCGTTTTTTCATTTTTAAACCTTAACATTTGAAAAGTTCTTTTCCTTCAAATACGAAAAAGTGATCATAACAAAGTCTTTAGAATATTGCCTTTAGAATATTTATGTAAAGAGTTCTATCTAATTACCAAGAATCGAAATTTTGTAAGAATCAACCAATTACTAGACATATTATACAAATATATGGCTAGTTATATATATAGATGAATTGAAAAACTTTAAAATTTGACACATTTTTGAAATTTGCCACTTTGAAATTTTCACAATTTTTATATGTGACTTCATTCTATATTTTTTATTCAAAAATTTATTCTGGTGAGCAACTTCATGACCCAAGGCATTTCTACAATATAAATAAAGAGCACATTTGTTGAGGTTATAAATGCGTGATGTTAAAGAATGAATTCCAAAACATTATATTTTATATTGTGAATCTTCAAATGTTGGCATATTGGACATTCCAATATGCCAATGTCCAAACGGCTACTGCACCAATTGGACATATAAAAATGCCAACGCTGGCCAGATCAGTATATTATTACAACACTAAGCTTTATAGCCATCAAAACATTTATTTGATTTTAACACCGAATCCTTTAATAAATCATCCGCTTCTTGTATGAATGAAGATAACACCAATCCGATATTATCAAAGTCGCCGGGTTTATTTGTAGCTCAAGCTTTTTTAAATCTCATAAAATAAACTTGAATGGAAATCTTTACAATTTTCAACGAGAGTATGAAAACATTGAAATACAATCGGGGCTTAATCACTTAAAAGATAGGGAAAGCATTCACTGGAGAGCCGAGTTCATTAGGAGAATATTGTTCCGCGTTACCATTGAAGCTATATGGATTAATTAATAGTAAAGTATTTTTTGAAAGTGTAAATTGAAGGTAGTCGGATTATATTTGCAAACAAATTGATAAAAATAAAAATTGTAACGTATCGTATTCAATAATCGTTTCAGTTAGATTTGAAAGTGCAAAAATATAGCTTGCAAGAATGATTTCTAGTTTATGTAGGAAGCCTCGTTTACTTTTTCAAAGCTTTATGATTTTTATGATTTTTATTATCAGTAAATGCAGCAGGGACAAGAAATGATGAATCTTGAAGAATGCCTTATGGATCCCACATTACGCATTATTAAAAAACCTAATGTTTGGAATGTATGTATCATAGATAATGTCTATAATTCAGAAATTGAGTTCTTAAACATTAGAGTACGGCCAATGGCTGTGTCTAAGAGACGCGCAATGTCCTAATACTAAGGCCTGAAAGATCTGAATCACTAAGAAGTCTCAAGTCCTTCGTTCGAGTAAACTTTGATTCTTGCAATTCTTTGGTGATATGTCAATGATAGGAAATTTTTCAAAGACAAATATGTAGTCAACCGAAAATGTTTGCGGGCTAGTTTAATATCAAATAAAAAATCATTGGCTAAAAGTTAAACTCTAATAGTAAAATTTAGTATTCGATATTGGAAAAGAAAAAAAATTTATAAAATAGTATTCAATTTCAAATCATCCATACCATAATAAAAAATCATTTGTGTGAAAACTAATCTATTTTATTTTCTTTTATATTACATTAAAATTTTAATTAAAAAAGATTTTTTTTTTAATCAATTAGTTGAAAAAAAAATATTGCGAAATAAATTAAAAATCTATAAAATTGTTTGTGCTATATATCTTTTTTTTAAATTGTCTATAGTGCTCTTTTTTTTTTTTTGTAAATTAAATACATTTATTAGCAAAACAAAAATCTTTTTAAATAAAATTTAATTAATTAACGACTTAAAGAAGCATTCATTCGTTAATTAATTCATTGTTCAATTACTATAAGATCATGTCATCAGTAGAAGTTTTTGGTAATTCACCACCTGGACAAAGTTCTTCAAGTTTTTTATCAAGTACCTCCTGCAAAATAATTGATCAAATAAATAATTTAAATAATATATTATTATTATTATTATTATTATTATTATTATTATTATTGAATTGTTGACTTTACCTGCATCTTATCAGCATCATTATAAATTTGTGATCCTTCTTCGTTAAAAGCTCTAGCATTATTAAACATTAGATGCCAATCCTCTTTAAACTGTTGTACTGTTTTGTAATAAATTCCTTTTAATCTTTTTTTAATAGTGTCCATAGCTATAGGATTTGTGATGATTTGATAGTATAATGGATAATCTCTTATTTTTGGAAGTGTAAGGAAAAGATATGCTCTATGACGTGGTTCACTATTCATATATTTTTTTGGGTAAATAAAAATACGAGGAAAATAAATTTGCAACTTTTTTTAAAATAATTTTATTTATTTACCCATTGGATACATCCATCAAATTATCTACTTCTGAATAACATTCTATAAATATTTTTCTCATTTTTTCACGATTTTGTGGTGGTACGTCGTCAAGAATTTCCTCATTCTTCTTTTTAGATATTTTCCTCTTTTTCTATAAAAAATATTCATCAACAACATTATTATTAAGTCATGGTCATCGTATATCAATACAATTATACACTTGTAAATAATACAAACTTTAGTTTGTTCAGAAAATGTTTCATCATTTGTCTGTTCATCATAACCACCAAACTCTCTTTTTGCTTTCCCCTTCTTTTTAATTAATTTGTGTAATGTCAAATCGGAATTATTGTTGTTGTGGCTGATCTTATCAAAAGATAATGATTCATCTTTACGTGGCCTTCCCCTTTTTTTCTTTGAATCTGACATGTTGTCAACAACCATCATCTCATCTGAATAGACAACATTAGGCTTTGATGTACTTCCTTGTTGAGATGGTTCTTCTTCTGGTTGTTGCGTTATCGTTCTTTTAACTTTCTTTTCTAATCTTCTTTTTTTAGTTGCTTGTTTCTTAGCAATCAGATCATCGAGTTCAATTTCTTCATCCTCGAGTGCCTAATGAAATCAAATAAACATTGTTTAAATAAATATTTCTCTTTTTATCATCTTAAAAAATATATATTAAACTTCACGCACATTCACCCATTGATCTTCTGTTAATCCATCATCATAATGAACATTTCCTCTAACTCTTTGACCGCGACCATACTCAATATTATCATCATCGCCATAATTTATAATAGTTTCATAATCTTTCATATAAACAGACGGCAATTCGTTTTCCTCTATCAATCTCTCGGGTTTCTTCCCTTCACCACCTTTTAAATACCATTCTCTCTCTTCGTTCTGATTTCTTTCAATATCCATTTTTTTAAATAGGATAAACTCATTTTCATTTCTTGAAATAATTTCATTCAACTCGTCATCATCCAACTCCTCTTCTTCGACATCATTGACTTCATCATTATCATTTTCCAATAATGAACGCTACCATAATAATGATGATGATGATGATGTTAATAATGTTATTTTTTTGTGATTATTTTTCTTGAAAATATAAATTAAAACATACCAGAAAGGCCTCACGTTCTTCAGCCGTACTTTTATTATCAAATTTACCAGCCTGAATTACCTTACCATCAATATCAAGTTTAAATTGAGCTCTAGCTAAAATTGTTTCTTCAATGGACTTTTGTGATATGAGTCTTAATATTCTAACTTCTCTAGTTTGTCCAATACGATGTGCACGATCTTGAGCTTGTAAATCTTGATGTGGATTCCTATTTACATTTATACGAGTTAATGAAATAAGGACAAGTAAATATTTATGATCATTCTATCACTAATTGGATACATACGAACAAGTATAAAAATAATAAAATTACCAATCAGAATCAAATATCACAACGGTATCAGCCGATTGTAAATTAAGACCAAGCCCACCAGCTCTTGTACTTAATAAAAATATAAAATATGGTGAATCTGGCGCATTAAATTTTTTCAATAATTCTGATCTATCCTCAGCCTATCATCATAGTAATTATTGTTAAAAATCAATAAATAAATAAAATAATAATATCGAATTCTATAATTAAAATAATATCTACCTTTGTCATGCCATCCAAACGTAGATACTTGAAACCACGCCAACTTAGAAAATCTTCCATAATTGTCATGATGGCAGTCATTTGAAAAAATATCAATACCTTTATATAAACAGAAACATAATAATTAATATTGTATATTACATATATACATATATATATGTGTGTGTGTGATGTTATATATTATGCATACTCTATGATTAGTCTTGTAGAATTTTGGTAAAATCCTATCTAATAATTCAAATTTGCCAGAAGCACGATACAGAAGATCATTATTTAAATATGGATTGACATCTTTTTCCACTTCTTCAAATACAAATGGATGATTACAAATTTTACGTAATTGCATTATCGTATTGTTAAGTCCTTTAATACCAGTTTTTCTATGTTAAAAAAAATGTGCGAGAGAGAAAAATGTTATATAAATAAAACGTATATAAATTTAACTAATGAATTATGCTTATAGTCATTAATTAATACATACCCTTTTTCACCAGTATTTACGAATAAAACGCCAAGTTTTTTCATTTGATTGTACAATTTAAGTTGTAAAGCTGACAATTTACATTTAATCACCCTTTCAATTTTATCAGGCAATTCCGACTCTACATCTTTTTTCAATCTACGTAAAAGGAATGGTCTTAAAACCTAATAATGCATGATTCATAGATGTTAGTGAATCGTTGCCAGATTGACTGGTTGTCAAGCCGTTCAGTGGTTATATAAATATCTTTTTTATTTTTTATAATTTAAAATTGTACCTTGTGTAGACGTCTAATGATAAGTAAAGATTCCTCTTCATTTAAAGCTATTTTATCTTGACCACCTGTGTTTGCAAATGGTGTATTAAACCATTCATCAAAACTTTTAACAGAGTCAAATATTTTTGGTAATATGAAATTTAACAATGACCATAACTCTGGTAAATTATTCTATAATAAAATTATTTTGGGAGAAAAGATAGAAATGATTAATAATCAAATGCTACTTTAAAAAAAATGACATTATTAATATATTATATATATGTTTGTTTGTTCATACTTGTAATGGTGTTCCAGTAAGAATCAAACGATAACGACACTGATAATTATTAGTCAAAATCATTGACAATTTTGAATTGACATTTTTCATACGATGTCCCTCGTCTATTATTACATAAACCCATCTTATTTTGCTTAAAACAGCTTTATCCCTGATTATATATTCATAAGTGGTGAGTAAAACTTGGAAATTGATGTGCTTGGTATATTGTTGTTGTAATTCTTTGCGTACCGCTGGTGTTCCCTTGTAAACACATTTTCTAACTAATGGCGCCCACTTGTCAAATTCCATTGTCCAATTTGTTAATGTTCTTTTAAGTAAAAAAAAACATATAGTATTATTAATATAAAAACATAAATGCATAAATATTTATTTATTTTTGTAATTTACTTACGATAATGGAACTACAATTAAGAATGGACCATTCTGCCTTTTCCTTTCAATAAGATATGTAATTAAAGATATCGTTTGAATTGTCTTTCCGAGGCCCATTTCATCTGCAAGTATACCATTTAATCTATTATTATATAATGAAACCATCCATTGTAAACCTTTTACCTTTAAAAAAGAAAAATTGAATGATGAATAATTGATCAAATGAAAATATTTAATTTTCAACTAATAAATCAAAATACTGATAAATCATTTACTTGATAATCCTTGAGTGTGCCACCTTCCATAATAGAAGGTTGCTCAACTTCTTCGCTTATTTTATGCGCAACTTTATAATAATCAACTTTTTTGCCATCCTAAATTAAAAATATATAATATAAAAATCAATTTTATCAATACAATCAAATTTTTTCAAAAAAGAATTTTTTTATACATACAATAATTGTCAAAGTATCATCATCATCATCGTCACCATTCTCCTCATTTTCTTCCTTGTCCATCAATTCAATACCACCTCTTACAGATGGATCATTGTGTAACTCATCACTTTGTTGAGCAACAACAGCTTGAGCCAAAGAATCAAGATAGGCATTGGTCTGTTTTAACAAATGGGTGATTCTGGTGTCTTTAGCCTTGTCTATAAGTTTCAAATAAGCTTCCTCATCGTCATCTTTCAAAGCTCTAAGACGCTCTTTTGAGATACGCTCAGCTCTTTTCTGCTCCTCTTTCTCAACTTGAGCATGATAATTTAACACAGAACGACCCAATTTTAATTGTTTGTTATTATTTGTACGATGCCATTGTGCCAAGTTACGACCATGAATACATATACTTTGTAAGAAATTTATATGTTTTTGTTTTTCCTTTCTTTCTCTATCCTCTCTTTGTGCTATTTCAAGGCTTTCAGTGATTCTAGAATCCATCATTGATGGCCTTTTCATATTTCTACAAGAAGCACGATCAACCGTAGAAATTAATCTGGTCTTTCTAGACATGGCAAAAAAAATATCATTACGAAGCTATACAATAAAATAAATGAACAAATTAATACATGAATTGATGAATTAATGAGTTGAACGCACTAACAAATTTATGACAATAACAAATACCTTTTTTTGCCTAGCTATTAAATTTAAAATCTTGTATTCTTTCAATTTTAAGTTATCTAGTGACTGATGATGATGATTTAAACCATCCTCGGTTTTGACTTTATTAATATTATTAATCATAAGATCGTGTTTGAGCTCGAGGATTCTTTGATTAATTTTAGCATTTAAAGCCTTTTCCTGTTCAACAGCATGAACTACAGGATCAAACCCTATAGGTGTTATAGAAGGGACCAATAATTTTTGATTATGAAAAGCATTTACATAAGTGTTAGTAGGTTTATGGTAGTAAGAATGTGGATTAATATAATCATTATAATTTGCTGATGGTGTCGTTGATGTTGTTGAAGATGTAACATTATTATTATTACTATTATTAATATTAATATTATTAGATGGTAACTGAGGTTTTGAGATTAAGTTAGTTGAATTGTCAAGATTGGAGGGAGCATTTGAAGGAACTTGGATCATATTATTATTGTTGAATATGTTGTTGTTTTTGATATTGTTGCTTTGATGTTGGAAAGGATGATGGTGATGAACAAGTTGTGGTTGGTGATTATGATGATTATGGTGATTATGATGTGGTGGATATGGATGATATAAATGTTGGTGTGGATTATGAGGCTGATGGTACTGATGTGTTTGTTGGGAAGATTTTTCATTTGTTAAACCAGCAAAATCGTTTTGCATAGGAATTAAAGTTTGGACTAATTCTGGATTAAGCATTGCCTGTTCTAATTGAGGTGGGATTGGTATATTACGAGAGATCAATTTAAATGCTAATATTTGAAATTTTAAAGCGATCAATTGTTCTTGTGTTAAGAGTGACGTGTTAGCAGTATTAACATTGACATTGACATTATTATTATAATTATAATTATTGATATTATTGGCATTAATATCATTATCTTCATTACTACCGCTTGATTTATTTTTGTTTTTGGTTTTATTTTTAATTTTATTTTTTACATTATTACTATCGTTACCACTATTATCAATACTATGATTATTATTAATAATGTTGTTGTTATTGCTAGAGCTAGATCCAAAAATATTAGATTGTTGCTGTTGCTGGTTCATTAGTAGCTGTTGAGGTTGAACTTGTAGTTGTTGTAAATGAGCTTGTAATTGCATGTGTTGTTGGCGTTGTTGTTGTTGTTGATGATAAGATCTTAAAATGTTCATTGATTGAAGAAGCTCAGTACTATTAGTTTCAGTGGCACCTTCAGCTTGCATTTTCTGTATTCTCTATAACAATATGGAGTGTAATTTGATCAAATTGGAAATTAATTTTCGATACATTATTAACATAATATTTAAAAAAAAAAAAAAATAATTAATATAAAAAAAGTAAATAAATAGTAAATAAACAAGTATTTTTAAAGATACTTACATCTAATAAAACTTTTAAGTTTTCTTGACTGAAACTATTATTATTATTCACCTTGATGCCTGTAACACTACTTGAACTGAGCTGTTGAGAATCCATCTAACTGCGGCTTGTTATTTTTTTTGATAATATTATTTTTTTTTCGAATGGAGAAACTTATTGAAAAAAAAAAATAAAATAAATAAACAATGAAAAAAATTTTTTTGAAAAAAAATAATACTTATTTGTGATCACAATTTCACCATTTTGTGTAGTGTATGTAATGTGACACAACATAATAATAGTCACGACCCTTATTAGGAAATTCATATGTTACCAAATTTATTTTAAACTTTTTTGATTCAGCAAATAAATATAATTCAAAAATAACAATAAACAATCTTTAAAGTTTAGAAACGATGATATATATTGAGAAAAACAAAAGAGCATTATTTTTAATTCAAAACATTTGATCCCTTTTACAAAATAAATAATAATTAAAATTTTTTTTAAAAAAGTAAATTTATTTCATCTGGAAAATTGATCTTCAACTTACGTACAGTATACACGATAATAATAAGCAGAGATATTTGGAAATTTAGCATGCAAGCTGTACATGCTCTCGATAATTGCAGGGGGTAAGCAAGCAGCTGTTTGTCAATTTTACGTGTAATTTCGGGATTTAATTTATACATGAGATTATTATTTATGAATTGTTTATATTATACATATATTAATAAGTTGATTATATACACATTGTTTGACTATTTCGGAATTGTTTGCAATTAATATTAATATATTAATATGTATTTATTTATGATCATATTACATGTATATTTATTATTTACAATAATTATAATAAAATCATATGCAATGAAACTGGTACTAGACAAAGTGAACATTAGCTCACAGATAAACTACAGGGGACAAAATTTAGCGGGGTTGGTGATAATTTTTTTGTTTTAAAAAAAATAGTAAATAGTCTCGTAAGAAAAAATCTTTTTTTTAGAGCTTTGTTATTTCTTGTACAATGTAATTTGAAAATCTTTTATTAATTAATGATTGTCATATTGCATCCATCACCCAAGGAAAAAAACCGTAATTACACACACATTCAAGGCAATGTTTTGTGAATATATTAATATACAGGATTTGCGTCAAAGACAATAAACGCTCATAATCCCGTATTATGTTTGAAAATTATAAAAGCATCACTAATTCGCTCATTTTCATGTAAAAAATAAAAAAAAAATTACAAATCCTTGTTAAACACACAATTTTATTTATAAAAAGCAAATTAATATTTATAATAACATTTAAAAAAAATCCTTTCAACAGTGAAATTTTTGCAAGTTGTTGATTGGGCTCTTGGTTTCTTGCTTCACTATAAAAACCAACTCTACATTATCAATCAAAGAAATTGAGCAAACAGGTACACTTTGAAGAAATTGAAAATCTATGGATGGATTTCAGGCAATTACTTGGTAAAAAGGTTGAGCAAGATTTGACGGTAAAATGGCAATTGAAATTACTTGTAAGGAAAAAAGGTGTTACTGCCTCTCCACAATAAAAAATTTATACCAACGAAAAACAAATCCTAGAAGGAAAACAACAAGAGCAATCTAGGAATGGGTTGACAAGCAAAAGAAAAGAGAGATAGAAAAAGAAGAAAGAAAATGGAGATGATAAAGAAGATGAAGAAAGAAATTAGTAATATTAATGATAATAAAATAGTCTAGATTTGCACCAGAGTAACCATGCAATTGTTCTGGTGGTTTTTTATCTTGATGTTTAATATTTATATACATAAACTAAAATCATCATGTATTTTTCTTCTAGTAAAAGTCAAAATGAACATTTTAGGAAACCAATCTGAAAAAAGCCAAACACTTCTAGAACCTCAAATCCTAATAAAAATTGTTACCATTTCCTTTTTTGTCTAGAAAATTGGGTCAAAGTTCAATACAAGGAATCTTATAATTAATCATCTTTACCTATTACTATATAATGTAAAAAACACGACAGATTTCGCTTCACATTCCGATTTCCATATTTTATAAAAAGATAGGTATCAATAAATTTCACGTTTATTAATGAGTGCCCATTAAAATTTCGCATTTTGTGCCTACAAATAAGCAAATATTATCAGAGCAATGTCAGAAACCATTAGTTCAAGCTCTAGTTAATAAAGTATATTTTAATCAGATTGTGAGTCGAGATTTTACTTTTAGTCGATTTATTATTATTATTATCGCCGACTTTCTACAAAGGTTAATCTATATATTTTATGTTTGAAACATCGTTTTTATCAGAAAATAAATTAATAAGTTATACTTTTTCCGAATGGTAAAATCGACTGTTTTATTTTCAATCAATTTGGATTTTTTTGTTATTAATCCCAATTTCCTACACAGGAAAATGAATGAATGTCAATTATTCGAATTAAAGATCATAACGAAAATGTAGGTTATACATTGAAGTCTGATAAAACATTTTCCCTCCATTCCATTTCATTTATCTATTTGAGTGATCATTTAGTATACTTTAAATAATTTGTGTTTTTTTCTTTTGGTAAAGCGAAACTAACAATGTCAGCGGTAGAAAAGCCTTACCGTATGTTTATAAAATTTCAACAAAAATTTAAACATCTTAAAATTTGATTTTTTTGTTTTAACATATTAACATTATAAATGCTTAATTTTACCTAATTGTTTGTTACTTTTAGGAATTTGGTATCTCAAATGATTCCACTAGACTGGAATAAAAAGGCAAATCCAAATGCTTCCTTACATATAGTGAATTTTTAACGCGTTTTTTCCTGTTTCATTTTGTTAAATGAGTTTTTAAATATTGGATTTCGAATCCAGTTAAAACTTTATGTTATCGATCCTCATCATCCTCATTATTTTCAGATCCCTTGATTTGGGACTTTAATAATGAATTAGCTTCAAAAACAAAGTAATCAATCGCCCAGTACACAACAATACAATCAACATCAAAAACAATTTATTAAACTGAAATGTGGTATTGTTCATTTTTCATTTTAACATTTGGCTCAACTTTTGACATATTATATTAATTATTCAATTATAAAAATGTGTGATTCTGAATTTGAGAGAAATTAATTAAATTTATTTCAAACTTTTTAGAAATAATAATAAAAATAAACAAATAAATTATTAATAATGAAAATAATTAATAAATGGTGAAAATTATTAATTAAATTAATAGATTTCAATTAATTACATTTCATAATGTGATATGCTATCATTACTTAAATTCGATTTAGGAGATGAGTCATATAACATTCTACTTGTATGATATGCCAATGGATGTGATTGGTGAATTTGTTGTGAATTACTATTATTACTGCTACCACCACCATTGATATTACTACTACTTTCATTAAAATTCCCATTTTTAAATATATCATGAGAAAATTCCAAAAGTTCTTCAATAGTTGGTCTCTTAGTTGGATCCACATCCCAACACCTTTGCATCATTTGTGCATAATTATCAGGCATTCCTCGTAATATTGGTGGACGTAAACCTTCACATATTTTTAATTGCAAATGAAAATCATGTGCTTTATCATCAAATGGTGGATGTCCTGCAAATATTTCCCACATCAACATTCCAACACTATAAATATCTGTTTCTTTTGTCCATTTTTTTCCTTTAAATAGTTCTGGTGCAGTGTAAGGTACAATTCCATAAAGTTTATTTGATGATTTTTCATCAACTGGCCCACATAATCCTAAATCAGTGATATAACAATCACCTCCTTGCAATAATATATTACCACTATGTAAATCACAATGAATTAAGTCTTTTTCATGTATATGATATAATGCACCACATAAATCTCCAAACATATTAATTCTATCTTTTAATGTTAACTTTGGATGATTATTTTGTATATAATCTCTTAAATTTCCCTCTTTCAGGTAATTAAGAACCATTGCATAATTTCCTTTTTCTGGGGATTTAGTTATACCATAACAAGTAACAATTGTGTTTAATTTAATTTTACAATAATTCAATGCCTGAAATTAATAATTAATTATATAAATAAAATTAATTAATTAAAATAAATGGTTAAATTTAGTTTATTTTTAAATAAAAACAATTACCTCATCAAAAAAAGGTTTTCCTGGATTACTTGAATCATTTAATGATTTTAATATTACATGCTGATGATGTATATAATCAAACTTCTTTTCATTTTCATCATAATCAACAATTCTTCCTCTTGTCCATGTAGCAGTATAAACAGTACTGAATCCACCTTTTGTTAACTTTTTTATATCATAAAATTGCTCATAAGGTACCCATTCTATAATTTGACCTGGAAGAGATGAAAGCTGTTGACATTTTTGAATAAAACTATCAATTATCTCATTTCCAGATGTCCAAGTGCTGAAAAGGCTCCGTAAGTGTAGTCTAATACACTTTTCACAAAATTTATCAGAGTATCTTGTTGTTTTACAATTATTGCATTTCCTTGGTTCACCCCTTTTATCAGTTGCATTTGTTAATTCAAAACTATAAATAAACCTTTCTTCACAATATTTCTTTTCATCTTCTAATAGTTCTTCATTTTCTTCAACTAATTGTAAAAAATTACTTTTTCTATTTTTTCTGTCAGAAACAGCTGGAAAAGTGGAATAAGCAATACCATTCATTTCATTAAAAATTTTAAGTACTAATGCCATTCTGTCTGGTGTTAATAAATTATATAATTTATTGAAGGACATTTTAACTTTTTAATATTTCTTTTTAAATAAATTTGTAAGAGTTACTTTTCTTAACAATAAAACAATATTATAATGTAAAAATACAAGTTATCTTTATTAACTTAAAATGATGTCCTTTATATAATAAAATTACATAGATTGATAAAATATAAATAATAATAAATAATAATAATTAGAGACACGAAATAAATTGATGCAGTGTTGTACCATTTATGGTTCCAATAAATTTTCATTGGAACATTCCAACAAATTCTAATTGGAGTTTAACCAACGAAATCCAATTAGAGTATCTCACACACAAATTTTATTGGTCAATATCAATTGAAGATCTACATTGAAGCATTACAATGTTCCAATTGCATA